GTCCTCCTGGGCTGCGCCCAGTGCGCCACTTTCGGCCGCCATTCGGCTTCGCTGCCAGTTCGGCCGGCATTCCTGTTTCGTTCTGTCGCATCGTGCGTGTGTGCATGTTTCAGCTGGGATCGGCGCGGGGGGGCGCTACGGGGATAGGGGGGGTATCAGTGGATGCGAAGGTGGGTGATATCTGGCCGGACCTAGTATACAAGTTGGTTGCAAATGCTCATGGTGGCTCCTGGGGGGGTAGATACACTCCGCGAAGCACGCGGAACCCATTCAGACAGGATCGCCACCCCCCCTGAGCCATTTGGGGCATTTGATCACGTGATGAGCTAGCTAGGCCAAAGACAACCCATCCTGGCATCTACTCGGAACCGCCTATCCCCTTTGCAACCCCCGCGCCGATCGCAGTGGGGGGACAGATGGGTACCGCACCGCTACTCCCCCGAACACCTCCAGGGGTGCAGCCCCACCAGGAGTCCGAGGAGAGTCCAGCCGTGGTGGCGAGGGCCCCCCAGGACGAGCAGCGACCTGGGCACCTCCGAGAGCCGCCCAGCGGCGAAGAAGGCAAGCGTCCCGAGCCCTCGCGCCGCTCCCAGCGGCACGCTCCGAGGGGGCAGGGCGGCGGGGCGTCACCCGGGCGGAGGGCGCAGGGAGAGTCCCCGGGGCCTCGGGGCAGGGCTGCCCAGCTGCCCCCCCCCCCCCCCGCGCAGCGCGGCGTGCGCGGTTGCTGGGCGGCCCCAGGTCCGCCACGGACCGCCCGAGGAGGGCTCGACCAAGGGCTGCACGAGGTCTGCGTGGTGCCGCGACTCGCGCCGGACCTTGCGGTTCTGGGAACAAGCAATGGTTCCGGAGGTTCGCGCAGATTCTGCGGATCGGAGCGCGCCAGGGGCGCCCTCAGGTGGCATCCGCGCGGACCTTCAAGTTGTGTATGATGATGTCACTGTTTGTTCCCATATTCCACGCCATGCCTAGCGAGCTACGATCGGGGGTGGACGGAACCCCCAACAGTGACACGTCGATTAGTGAATTGTCCTTTTTCGGCTTGCGCCCGCCAGGTTTGGGCCTCAGGTCGTTTTCATTAAACCACGTTTTACTAAAGGGGGGCCTGTCCATCCCCGATAAGAGGGCTTCATATTAAAAGCCAGCACCGCAGGGTAATTAGCCCCAGAGCTCGTTCCAGCTTCCAGCAGAGCACCTCGCAGAAACCTGTGTGAGCTTTTAGCGGGTCCCAGAAGGCCTTGTTTCCAATCGTTTCCCAATACGTGTGACGTCAAGTATTCCAGAAGTTTCTTCTGAAGCTCCTTCCACGAGCTTCCAGATCTCCTTCAAGAGGTGTTACAAGGCCTTCATGGCGCCTCGTTATCTGGGTTTGGGACTCTACATCTCTGAAGATCTGCCGTTCTGCGTCGAGTGATCTCGGGGCTCAATACATTGGATCACGACACCAACGTGCACCGATGAATATGGCTCAATTCCCGCAGGTCGATTGGAGCAGGGTCGTCAAGAACTTGTGGAAGGACGGTTGAGATAAGGGTGGGCCCAGGCAGAAAGAAAAGGAGGAGATGGAAGATGATGATGATGATGATGAGGAGGAGGAGGAGGAGGAGGAGGAGGAGGTAGAGGAGGAGGGGGAGAAGGAGGGCAAAAGAGAGGAGGAGGAGGGGGGGGGGAGGGGGAGAGGGAGGAGGAAGTGTATGAGGAGAGGTAGGAGGATGAGGAGGAAGGAGGAGGAGGAGGGAGGAGGAGTAGAGAGGAGAGGAGGAAGGAGGAGGAGGAGGCGGAGAGGAGAGGAGGGGAGGTAGGAGGAAGGAGGAGGAGGGAGGAGAGGAGGGAGGAGGAGGAAGGAGGAGGAGGAGGAGGAGGAGGAGGAGTAGGAGAGGAGGATGATGAGAGGTAGAGATTAGGAGGAGGGGAGGAGGAGGAGGAGTAGGAGGAGGAAGGGAGGAGGAGGAGGAGGCGGGGGAGGAGGAGGAGGAGGGGAGGAGGAGGAGGAGGAGGAAGAGGAGGAGGAGTTCGTTCAGACATGATTGGCTCTCGGAGCATCTTGTAGCGTTCTGGCACGGCCGCGGCGCCAGAGTCCCACGGAGCAGGGCGGCCCGCGTCGGCCACAAATCGCTCGAGTAGGACGTCGGAAATTCTCGGAGCCCCACGTGGTCTTCCCTTCCCCCTCCATCTCCCTCATCATCATCGTCCTCCTCCTCCGCCTCCTCCTCCTCCTTCTTATCCTCCTCCTTCTCGTCCTCCTCATACCTCCCCTCCTGCTTCCTCTACTACCTCCTCCTTTTCTCCTCCTCGCCTCCTCCTCCTCTCCTCCTCCCTCCTCCGCCTCCTCCTCCATACTCCTCCTTCTCGTCCAGGCTGCCATTTGGGCTCCCACGCGCGCGGGGGCGCGCGGGGGGGGCGTCCTTCTGGCCCCAGACGCCGGCGGCCCGCGGCGATTGCGGGCGCTGGTGCACCTCGACGACGGCTGGCCGCTCGCCTCGACGGCGCTCGCCGTCGCCAGCCTGGCACAGGCGGCAGCGGCGGCGCCGCGCGGAGGCTCGCCAGGTCCGTCGCGTCGCGGAGGCCCGCAGGACGCTGGCTGGCCACCACGGCGAGGCCATGGCGCAGGACGAGGCGGCCCATGGAGCCCCTTGGCGCACAGCTCAGGGGCGTGGCGGCGGCGGCCCTGTGTGGGCATGCGCGGCCACGCGGGCGTGCGGGTTCGCCAACAACTTCGCGACCCGCGAGACCTGCTGGGCCTGCGGCCGCGACCGCCAGGGCCGGCCTACGGGAGCCAAGGGGGCCCGCCAGCCCACCAGGCCGCGCTCGGCGACCAGGCCTCGCTCGCTGGGCGCTGGCGGCGATCGCCTTCTTCGCGGCGCTCCTCCTGGGGCCGACGGCGGGGGCACCGCGGAGTCCAACGCGGTGGCCAAGTGCCGTAAGGCCCTCAAGGCGCTGCGCAGCATCTATGACGAAGAGCACTCCCTCGTCGTGGCTGCCAAGGCCGAGCTCAGCCAGGCCGAAGCACAAGAGCGGGCTCACATGGCGCCTGCCGACGTGCTCCGCTCGGCGCTGGACAGGCAGGCAGCGCGTGAAGAGGAGCGTGCAAAGCTCCAGACGGAGGTCGACGCGCTGGCAGCCCAGCTCAAATCGGCCACCGACAAGCTGGACCGCGTCAAGCAGCAGCTCGTGGAGTCCAACGAGGAGGTGGCGCAGGCCCAGCTGGCCAATGCGGCACATACCGCACCACTGGGTGGCGATGCGGCATCTTCGATGGCGGCGCTTCAGCAACTTCTCCAGACAGCCCACAACTCCATCCAGCAGGGCCAGGATCGCAACATCGTGGGCGGTGCCATCCTGGAGCAGCTGGTGGGACACGCGCGCACGCTGGGGGACGCAATGCCGAGGCCTTCTCCGCCAGGCCAGACGGCGATGGAGGTTGAGGCCTTTCGCACCGCGGGCGGGCAGCCCGCTGGCGTCGGCGCCCACACAGCAGCAGCCACAGCAGCCGCAGCGCCTGCAGCACCAGGCGCAGCACGTGCACCAGCAGCACCACCAGTCGCAGCAGCACCGACGCCAGCAGGAGCAGCAGCGGCAGCGTGGGAGTTTGCGGGCACCACGTAGACGAGCCACGCGCCGCAGGGCGCGCACCAGCATGGGGGCTGTCACATTCAATGGGTCTTGCTGGCGATCGTGCCAGCAGTTTTTGCAGAATGGAGCGACAGATGCGCTGGTGGTAACGGCTCAGGAACTTCGACTTGATGGCGAAGCTTTGGATCAGGCGCGAACATGGGCGACGAGAAATGGATGGCAGCCATTCATCAGTCCGTGCAGGCGCCTGGCTTCCAAGCTGCCGAGCGCGGGCGTGGAGATCTTTGTCAGGGCGCATGTATCCACTACTCTTCTTAGTGGTGCTGGGGGCGTTACTGATGGGTTCGAGATATTACGTTCGTGGGCGGTGGCAGTACACGTACATGCTGGGATCAAGGGAGGCTTCATCGTCGGGTCGGCGTACATGGAGTCGGTCCCAGACCCCGACTTTCTCACCACTAACTACCAGAAGCTCATGCGCATCGCGGAGAGCATGCGTTACTTCTCCGCCCCTTTCATCTCCGCAGGCGACTGGAACACGGAGCCTGCCAACATGGAGGTGCTGGGCTTCTTGCAGATCATGCCTGCCATTGCGGTGGCCACTCAAACGTCGGGCACTTGTCGTTCGGCAAAGACGGGCACCTACAGCACCATCGACTACTGGCTGACCTCACCTGACTTTGCGAAGGCTTGTGGCGTCCCCTACGTGCTCGACTCTTGGGCCCCGAGGCCCCACTATCCTGCGCGCATGGATCCCGACGCGAAGCCCAGGGCGCACATGCAGATGCACCTGAGGGCGCCCAAGCCTTTCCCCAAGCAGGCGCCGCGGTACTCAGGGGCCAGTCCCTTGCATGGACCGCCCAAAGTGCAGCCCCACCTGGACGTGGTCAGGCAAGATGCTGATCCGGGACAACCTGAAGATGGTGATCAGGCTCAGCGGCGGCTCGACGGCCTCCACGCCAACTTCATCTCGTTCGTGGAGCAGGAACCCTGCCACATCTACCAGGTGGACGTGCAGGATCGCGAGAAGTACTGTGGTAGAGCGGAAGCTCCTGCATATGTCTGGCGTCCAGCGGGAGGGCCCATCCTCAAAGGGGCTCCAGCAGCTGGCTCCGAAGCCCGCTGCATGCGCAACGTGACCTTCGCGCTGCAAGACCTGGCCGCTCAACTTGAAAGGGCAGAGCCAACAGGTCATCCTTCGCCAGCTACAACTTCGGCTTCGACTTATTCAGGCGTCGTCGGCAACGCGGGCTCCAGCTCTCATTTGAAGTTTGACGTTGGGATGGCTGCGCAGCGGACGACGCCACGTGATCGTGACAAGGATGCAGTTTCTCGTGGGACATCTACTTATTCAGGTGACGCCAGCGACTCGGGCCCCAGCTCTCATTTGAAGTTTGCAGTTGGCATGGCGGAGAAGCGGGCATCACCACGGCATCGAGCAAGGACAGCAGCTTCTCTTGGGAATTCTACTCATCTTATTGGGTCCAACTGGGCGCGCATCACGAGGGCTCTTCGGCCAGGTCATCGTCAGGACATCCACACGACGGAGGGCATGATGCTGTTCGAGTGGGCTTGGCCTGTTCTACATTATGCGTGCAGACTGGAGGCCTCACAGTACATCCTGTTTGTCATAGCTCTCGCCCTGACCTTCGAAGGCCATGCCAAGGTTCTCGAGCAGCAGGCAGCCAACAAGAGGGTCACGAGCTTTCACAAGTGGGCCCGGGACGCGCTTATCACAGGCGCCTCCCCAGTCTTCGGCATGACCAAGCTGAAGGGATGGGCGCACAATGAGGTAGACAGGTTCGGTATTCGCTCAGCTCTTCCTCAAGCAGTAGCAGACAGCCAGATGGACATGTGGAATGACATATGGCAAGGTGCCAAGGTCTCCAAAGCTGCGGATAAGGACATCATCTACAAGGACGTGGGCAGCATCACCTGTGACGACAGCCTTGGCGACAACGAGTTCGAGGTCGAGCACATTGCCGACAGCCAGGACGACCTGATGAAGCTCATCCGCACCCTACCATGCGAGGCCATGCAGGTACCCACGATCGATGACGCACGGCGTGCTTCGAGATCCGTTGCGTGGAAGACGGGACTTGGTGCTGACGCACTGCCTCCAAGAGCGTACTCCCTTTTGGTCGACGACGCCGTGGCCATGCTCGTGTACCTCCCATGGGCTGCGGAGGCCTGGGGACGATGGCCCACCACCACCATGGCCATTTACGTGATGCTGTTGGCGAAGCCCCAGGGCGGCTTCAGGCCGATAGCCCTGCTCCCGTCCATCTACAGGGTGTACACCAAGATCAGGATCGTCCACGTGCGCAGGTGGGCGGCCAACCACACGCGACCTTACTTCGCGCTGGGCTTAGGACGATCTACGATAGATGTGGGTGCGCGCACCATGGTCTACGCTGAGGCAGCCGACGCAAGAGACCAGGACGCCATCATCACAGCCCTGATCGACATCAGCAAGTGCTTCGACAGGCTCAAGTGGATTAAGATCATCGAGGCCGCCAAGCACTTTGGGTTTCCGCCCAGCGTCCTGCGCAGTGTCCTGGCCATGTATGCCGCTCCGAGGCGCATTCGATGGGGGACGACCTTCTCATATGCCGTCAGGGCCACACAAGGGGCTCTACCTGGCTGCTCGGTGGCAATGTTTTTGTTGCAGCTGGTCATGATCCTGCCCTTCGATATATATCAGGCCTCGATCACACAGATACCGCACACCTTAGACATTTATGCAGATGAGATCACGCTTCAGATCATGATGAAGGCGAATGAGATTGTCCAGGCAGCTCAGGCGGCTATCGGCAGGTTGGCGGTGGTCCTCCAAGCACTTGAGCTTCCCATTGCCAAAGACAAGGCGAAGATCCTGGGGTCAGCGGAGGACATCGCAGCGCAAGTGGTTAGAGGAGTTTCTCAGTATGGCTTTCAGGTGGTCAACAAGCTGAGCGTCCTTGGCCTGGAATGTCGCGCAGGGGCTCGTCTGACCTACATGGAGATCCACAAGCGCGTCATGAAGATCAAGGAGCGGATCCCGAGGTTCAGGAAGCTCAAGGGCATGGCGAAGCTGGCCAAGCGGATCGCTCGGCCATGCTTGGCGCCTGGCATGGCCTACGGCCTCCATGTGGTGGGAGCCCCGCCAGCCACGGTAGCCACGATGACGAACGTGGTCCGCACAGGCTGGAGCAAGACACCCACGGCTTCATCCACATGGCTTGCCTCACTCTTGGAAGAAGGCCCCAACCAGATGCCTGATGCGATGGCGACCGTGGAGCCCGTCTTCACTTGGGCGCAGTTGGTGTTCGACCAGAAGATCCCCATGGACACGATCGAGCGCGCGTGGAAGATTCAGTCGGCAGCTTTGGCATCGGCATCGGCCCCATGGAGCTCCATCGCGGGACCTGCAGGCGCCGTCATCCTCAACCTTAGGCGTCTGGGCTGGAGGGCGCATTCAGCCACGCACTGGGAGACGGGCAACGGCATCACGCTGAAGCTGGACGAGGTTGCACCCAAGTGGGTGCGCACGATGGCGAGACGCAGCTACAGATCGGTGAAGTGGGAGGAGTGGGCATCCAAAGTGGAACATGCAGCTGAACACCCACCTGCCCCACGCGACCCGCGAGGTTACTGGATCGAGCCGATCGCAGCCATGATGCACGCACCTCCTGGGGCGTCTACTTGGAACTTGCAGCCCAAGGCCAGAGGCGCCCTCAGGTCCACCATCATTGGAGCGCAATGGTCACAACAGCGCCTCTACACCATGGGATACGCGGACTCTCAGATGTGCCAGTATTGCGGAGACGTTGTTGGCGATTTACACCACAGATTTTGGAAGTGCCCCCGTTGTGCAGATACGAGGGCAGCCGCTGTGGATGATTTGATAGTGGACATGGCTAAGGAGGCTTCGCCTAACGACCTCTTCTACACCAGGGCGCTTCTTCCTCGAGTAGTACTCCCAGATATTCCGCCACCACTGGACACGCAGAGGTGGTGGTACTGCATGGGAGGCCAGACCATGGACATCACAGGGGAAGTGTTCACTGATGGATCGGCCAGGTCACCATTATATTGGCCTGAGGCGAGCCGTGCAGGATGGGGCATTGCCATCTTAGCAGGCAGGCGCCTCCGTGGCATGGCCTTTGGCCCCTTGCCAGGGCCCCAGCAGACAGCGC